AAAAAAAAAAAAAAAAGACATGTTTCCTTGTGAAAGCTTCTCATTTATGAAAAAAAAGTGCCCTTACCTCAAAAAACCAACCTAAACTCAGATATAATCAAACCTGTAGATATACTACCAAGTTACATGAAATACAGGAAACAGAAAACATGTTAACACCATACAGAAGCAATTAGTAAGGTTGAGTGCAGTGGCTTACATCTGTAATTCTGTATTCTGGGGGGTCGAGACAAGTGGATTGCCTGAACTCAGGAGTTTTGAGACTAGTGTCAGCAGAGCAAGGCCTTGTCTCTACTAAAATATAGGAAAAAACTAGCCGGATGTTGTGGCAGAGGTCTGTAGTCCCAGCTACTTAGGAGGCTGAGACAAGAGGATCACTTTAGCCCAACAGTTTTAGGTTCCTATGAGCTATGATGCCATGACACTCTCAAAAAAAAAAAAAAAAAAGGAGAAAGAAAGAAAAAGAAGCAATTAGCAAAATCCCAAACCACAGGAAATTTTTAAATAAATGACCTGGTTTCTTTAGCAAAATGTAAAGGAAAAAAAGAGAGATGAAGAGGAACCTAGAAATTAAAAGAAACTTAACTGATGGCAGCAATTGCAACATCCACACCTTATTTGGACTTTGATTGAAAATGTTAAAAATAATTTACAAAATAATCAGGGAATTGTGGAAACTAAAAACATATTTAGTGATACTAAGAAATTATTATTTTGGGCAGCACCTGCGGCTTAGTGAGTAGGACACCGGCCCCATATACGGAGGGTGGCAGGTTTAAACAAGGCCCCAGCCAAACTCCAACAAAAAATAGCCAGGTGTTATGTCAGATCCCTGTAGTCCCAGCTACTCAGGAGGCTGAGGCAAGAGAATTGCCTAAGCCCAAGAGCTGGAGGTTGCTGTGAGCTGTGATGACAGAGAACTCTACAGAGGGCGACAAAGTGAGACTCTGTCTCAAAAAAAAAAAAAAAAGAAATTATTATTTTTCAGCATGATAAAGGTAGTAAATTATGTTTTTAAAAATAAGTTGTTATTTTTCAGAGAAACATGAATTATGTACAGAAGAAATACTAAGGTTAAGATTGCTTTAAAACATTCTAGGAAGGAGATAAAAGAGATGAAACGAGATTAACCATAAACTGATGACTATTTTAAGTTGATTCATGGGTACATGAAGGTTCATTATATTAGTCTATTTTTATGTATGCTTAACATTTTCCTTAATAAAAAGTTAAAAAAGAAGAGTGGTTCATTACATTTTAAAACACTATATTTTTTTTATGTGCTCTTTCCATAAGTATATTTTTATTCACCTTACTCAATATTAGCTACTGGAAGTTAGGAAGATTTAGCACTGTATGAAGCAAGAATCAGAATTAGAATATAAACAGAACTTAATCATAGAAAAAAACCAAAAATAATTGTTTTAGGCATATAAGCAAAGCACATATTATTATTTCCTAATGAAATGCTATTTTTATTAGGGCACCAAAAATTACTCCTCCATATATACACATGCATATGTGCACACATGCTCACACACAAACATACACACGTATATATACTCTGAGATGTATACTCACCACTTTCCATCTTTCTTTCACCAGGATTCCAACACTCAGGATATCTGGTTGCTCTCCTCCCCCACTCATTGCAATACACTGATATGGTAGAACAGCTACACTGGCATCCAGTTCCCAAGGGTGGTTTCCATTTAACCTAAAACAAAAGAAATAGTAGCAGTATATCAGGGCTAACGAACACAAATAACATTCCAACATCAACAAGCACTACTAGTAAAGCAAACAGACAACCTTCAGAATGGGAGAAGATTTTTGCAAGTTATGCTTCCGACAAAGGTCTGATACCTAGAATCTACAGAGAACTCAAACTAATCAATAAGAAAAGAATAAATAACCCCATTTCTACGTGGGCAAGAGACTTGAACAGAAACTTCTCTGATGAAGAAAGGCCTACAAACACATGAAAAAAAATGCTCATCATCCTTAATCATCAGAGAAATGCAAATCAAAACCACTTTGAGATATCATCTAACTCCAGTAAGGTTAGCCCACATCACAAAATCCCAAAACTACAGATGATGGCATGGATGCAGAGAGAAGGGAATGCTTCTACACTGCTGGTGGGAATGCAAGCTAATATGACCTTTTTGGAAAGAAGTTTGGAGAACATTCAAGGAACTAAAAGTAGACTTACCATTCAATCCTGCAATTCCTCTACTAGGTATATACCCACATGATCAAAAATTATTTTGCAACAAAGACATTTGCACCAGAATGTTTACTGCAGCCCAATTCATAATAGCCAAGACATGGAAACAGCCCAAGTTCCCATAAACCCATGAATGGATTAACAAATTGTGGCATATGTACACTGTGGAATACTATGCAGCCATAAAAAAGATGGAGACTTCACATCTTTTATGTTTACATGGATGGAGCTGGAACATATTCTTTTTAATAAAGTATCTCAAGAATGGAAAAAAAAGTATGAATACTCAATACTACTATGAAATCATTACATAACCACCTACACACTCATATGACTGGCAAAACATAACTATAGTCCAGAAAGTAGAAGGGAAGAGGAGAGAGAAGGGAGGAGGGGGGGATATGGGAGGAGGGAGGGTATTTGGGGGAACCTCACCCATGCATGAGGCAATGGTACATTTCAAAACTATTAAGAAATGAGTATAACTGTGATGGATGCATTACTTAGTTTGATATACGCATTTCACATTGTATATGGAAGCAGTATCCTGAACCTCATAAATGTATCAATGTATAAAGTTATGATTTAATAAAAAATAATTTAAAAAGAAAAAAAATTAGATGTCAAATACAGTAGAACCTCCATAGTTGACCACCTCCCTATACTGACTATCTCTGTGTTGATTAGTTTGTTACAGTCCCTTAGATAATGACCTTACAGAGGTACAGAGGTTCTAGTATTTTTTTTGTTTGAGATAGAGTTTCACTATGTCACTCTCGGTAGAGTGCCATGGCGTCACAGCTCACAGCAACCTCCAACTCTAAGGCTTAAGTGATTCTCTTGCTTCAGCTTCCCAAGTATCTGGGACTACAGGCTCCCACCACAATGCCTGGCTATTTTTGTTGTTTAGCAGGCCCAGGTCCGGTTCACACCCACCAGCCATGGTGTATGTGGCCAGTGCCCTAAGCACGGAGCTACGAGCGCCAAGCCAGGTTCTCTTGTATATTAACAAAATAGATGATCCCAAGGCTACAACTAGCTAAAGGAAACAATGCAACCTTTTTTATTTTTTATTTTTTTGAGACAGAGTCTCACTCTGTTGCCCAGGCTAGAGTGCCTGGCATCAGTGTAGTTCACCTTAAACTCCTGGGTTTAAGTGATACTCCTGCCTCAACCTCCTGAGTAGCAGCATCACACCCAGCTAATTTTTCTATTTTTAGTAAAGACAGTTTCTCACTTTGCCCAGGCTGGTCTCAAACTCCTAAGCTCAAGGGATCCTCCCACTTTGGCCTGCCAGAGTGCTAGGATCACAGGTGTGAGCCACCGTGGCTGGCCCGACTTAATTGTTTTTTAAGGCAATTACTTTGAAACTGGGCAGAAAAGAAAAAGACAAGTATAAAAATATTAATCATAAAACCACTTTGGTAAAAAGAGATAAAATGGCAAATAAGTTTTCTAATTCAAACACTGAAAAACGCTGAATCTTATTTTCAATAAAAATCTTCATTCTCAGTTAAAAAATAATGATTCTTGGCTCAGCGCCTATGGCTCAAGTGGCTAAGGCACCAGCCACATACACCTACGGTTGTGAGTTCGAATCCAGCCTGGGCCCACCAAACAATAATGACAGCTGCAACCAAAAAATAGCTGGGCGTTGTGGCAGGCGCATGTGGTCCCAGCTACCTGGGAGGCAGAGGCAGGAGAATCACCTGAGCCCAAAAGCTGGAGGTTGCTGTGAGCTGTGATGCCACAGTACTCTACCCAGGGTGACAGCTTGAGGCTCTGTCTCAAAGATAATAATAATAATGATGATGATTCTTAAAACATAGTTGGGTTAAATCTTGATATCTTACCAAAGGGAGCCAAGAAGTTACTATCTCCTACTCTTCAAGAGACACTATTGCATCCCAGATTCTTTTTAAAGAACATTTATTTATCCCCCCACCCCGCCACCTTGGGAAGCTCGAAGTGAAGCTTCAATTGAAGTGAGAACAAATTCTTATAATATAATACAAAACAGCTATGAATATCTCAAAACATCAAGGATTTTTTATAGGTATTTCAAGGTATTTAAAGGTCCGGGCATGGTGGCTCACGCCTATAATCCCAGTATTCTGGGAGGTTGAGGCAGGAAGATCACCTGAGCTTATGAGTTGGAGACCAGCCTGAGCTAGAACGAGACCCCATCTCTAAAAATAGCTGGGCATCCCAGCTACTTGGGAGGCTGAGGCAAGAGGATTGCTTGAGCCCAGGAGTTTGAGGTTGCTGTGAGCTGTGACATCACGACACTCTACCAAGGGTGACAAGGTAAGACTCTGCCTCCAAAAAAAAGGTAATTAAAAAGTATCATAGGAAAAATGTCAAAATATTCACAAAAGTTTGTAAGTATTATATATGTTCCATTAAATATCAAAAGAATGTTTTATTTAAAAGTCATATAACATAAATGAAAGTATACTTAAAAGTCTGCTTAGGCTCAGCGCCTGTGGCTCAAGCGGCTAAGGCGCCAGCCACATACACCTAAGGTGGTGGGTTCGAATCCAGCCCGGGCCTGCCGAACAACAATGATGCAACCAAGAAATAGTCGGACGTTGTGGCGGGTGCCTGTAGTCCCAGCTACTTGGGAGGCAGAGGCAAGAGAATCGCTTGAGCCCAGGAGTTGGAGGTTGCTATGAGCTATGATGCCACAGCACTCTACCCAAGGTGACAGCTTGAGGCTCTGTCCCAAAAAAAAAAAAAAAAGTCTGCTTAAGCAAAAAATTAAAAATAAAAAATTTTTGGCTGGTCATAATCACTAATGCCTATAATCCTAGCACTCCGGGAGGCCTAGGTGGGTGGATAATTTGAGCTCAGGAATTTGAGACCAGCCTGAGCAACAGTGAGACCCTTATCTCTACTAAAAATAGAAAAACTACCCAGGCATTGTAGCAGGCACCTGTAGTCTTACTACTTGGGAGGCTGAGGGAAGAGGATCACTTGAGCCCAGGAGTTTTGAGATTACTGTGAGCTATGACAATGCCAGGACACTCTACCTAGGGTAAGAGAGTCAAAAAGAAATTAAATCACCTGCTTAAAAAGATGAAATTTTCTGAGCAGCACCTGTGCTCAGTGAGTAGGGTCTTCGCCCCATATACCGAGGGTGGTGGGTTCGAACTCGGCCTCAGCCAAACTGCAACAAAAAATAGCTGGGCAATTTTGTGGCAGGCACCTGTAGTCCCAGCTACTTCAGAGGCTGAGGCAAGCGAGTTGCCTAAGCCCAAGAGCTGGAGGTTGCTGTGAACTGTAACATCAGAGCACTCTACCAACAGCAATAAAGTGAGACTCTGTCTCAAAAAAAAAAAAAAAAAGATGAATTTTCTGGCAAAATTGACATTCCTATTATGTAAATTATAAAATTTTAATCTGTATTTTAAATCTATAATCAAGGATCACCAGACTTTAATAAATCAGAAACTGATTTATTGAGCAGTAATACCTGTTATCCTTATGCTTAAAATTTAGTTCTAAAAAACTCAGCCTTTTCATATGAATTTGAAGGCTCTAGTAAAATATACAAATATTATATTAACCTGAAAGCACTCAGTATTTTCTTTTTTTTTTAATAAGAAGCTGTTGTTTTTATTGATAAGAAAATTGAAGTACAGAGAATTTGTAATTTTCTCAAAGTCATATAGCAAAAAAGTGGCAGAGCATGAATTTAGACATAAGCTAGACTTCAGATCCTATGTATTTAACCTCTATCTAAAGTGATTTCAATAGGAGTGAGATTAAACATACTGGAATCCAGTATAGTATTTTAAGTGTTTATTCACAGCATATACTTACATTTTCCCACTTAGCCCTATAAGAATAGTCAAGGAATTTCTGCATGACTCCTAATTGTAAAAGTGATAAAACTTTTTTGCCAGGCAGTTAAATATAAATAGACAAACAATTCAAGAAAAACTGAAAAAACCTTTGAAATATAACAGAATAGTCCTTTCTCATTAATGCACAATTATACAGTACCTCAAATTATTTCAAGACCTATAATATTATAGAATAACAATAACAAAATTATCCCATTTCCAATATTGAGTAGCTTTTCACCTATAATCATGACACAATTACAAAGTAATATTTTTATATAATGATTAGCACATTATCACTTATGGAATAATAGCCTTATCTTTTGAGAACTGGGATATTAGTACTACTCGTTAGATAATATAAGTGAAATTGTCAATATGGAGCCTTTCATATTATTAGCAATCAGGATATAGTAGTGGTGATCATCATAAATAAAGTCACTCTAAAATATAAGCAAAAAAAGAACAGCATGTGCTGTTCTTAAAAACAAAAAGTACATATAAAGGTAGAAAGAATTAGTCTTTCTTGAATAAGACTTGGTTTAGGAGAGTTCTCAAAGTTCTAGAGCAGTGATTTTCAAATGGTGTGTTGTGGCACACCATGCATGAGAAGATGCTAGGTGTGCTGTGAAAATCATTGAAAAACATTAATTATTTTCGAAAGAAGTTCAAATTAGGGCTGTGTACATTGGATACTTTTTCTTCCATTCTTGAGATACTTTACTAAGAAGAACATTTTCCAGCTCCATCCATCGGGAAGGGGGGAGGGAGAAGGGAGGGGTAGGAGGTGAGTGGGTGGAGGGAGGGTGACTGGAGGGGTCACCTCTATGGTTTATCTCACAAGGGCACAAGTGAATCCTTCCAAAAGCAGAGTATGAATGTCTTAATAACTAAGAAAATGCCATGAAGGCTACGTTAACCAGTTAGCATTCAGTATTTTCACTGCAAAAGGTTCTTCCCCACTGGGAAAAAATTCCCACTACCATCATCATTGTTACAATATGCTTGATGACAAAAAACAGATGACAAGGAAGTAAAACTACTTAAAATGTGTTAAATTGCTATAAATATTGATGACATACTGCAATGTTACTAATCAAATAAACACAAATAGTTCCAGCTATATTTTGAGTATTTCTCAAAAACTCAAAAAGAACAAAAAAATTATACATGACAAGATTAATTTAGAGTAATATGCCCTCAAAGTGATTTGCCATATATCTATAAATGATAGATAGGAGTTATTTTTCTTATAGAAATTATTTTTTTAGGGGGGAAGGAAGCAAGCTGTAATTTCTATTAATTTTTTTTTGAGACAATGTCTCATTTTATTGCTTTCAGCAGAGTGCTATTGTATCATAGCTCACAGCAACCTCAAACTCTTGGGCTCAATCAATCCTTCTTGCCTCAGTCTCCCAAGTAGCTGGGACTACGGGTGCCTCCCACAATGCCCAGCTACTTTTAGAGACGTTAGAGACAGGCGTCTCACTCTTGCTCAGGCTGGTCTCAAAGTCCTTAGTTCAGGCAATCCACCAACTTTGGCCTCCTAGAGTATTAGGATTACAGGTGTGAGCCACTGCATCCAGCCTATTTTCATTTAGTTTTCAAGGACTATTTTATTTTACAAGTCAGTACAGCCCCTGCTAGCTCAAAAATGGTCATTAAACACTTTCCCTTATTATAAAGTTTTTTCTCAAGTACATACTATATCTCCCAGATTCTGAGAATTAGAATCTGAAAATAGCTGGGTGGTTTCAGCTTAGGGTCTCTCATGAGTAGCAATTGAGTTTTCATATATATATATATGTATTACTTTTTTCTTTTTCTTGGAGACAGGGTCTTGCTCTATTGCCCAGGCAGTGGCACAATCACAGTTCACTGCACCCTCAAACTCCTGGGCTTAAGCAATCCTCTGGCTTCAGTCTCTGGAGTAGCTGGGACTACAGGTGCACACCACCATACTCAGATAATTTGTAAACTTTTTGTAGAGACAGGGTCTCACTATGTTACCCAGGCTGCTCTCAAACTCCTAGCTTCAAGTGATGCTCCTGCCTCAGCCTCCCCAAGTACATATACATTACTTTTTAAAGTTATAAAGCAAATAAAGAATTATCTGTCCCCTATCAAAGTGAAGTTTAAATTCCATAATCACAGCTAACTGAACTCTTTAATATTCATTACCTTGAAAAACCAACAACCTATCACTGTCACATTTTTAGCACACTTTTTAGATGTAAAATACTCCTAAAAATTGTCTAAATTATGCAAACTTCACTTCTAACATTATATTTAAAGATATGTGAAGCCCTAATCAAGTTCAATTTGCTTAAGCAAATGAGCTCTAACCTCCTGAAGATTTCCTGAGGTATTAAAAAAATCAGTATTTAAAAGAAAGTCAAAAGAAGACACAAAAAGCTGAAGTCATATATTATACAACAGAGAATTCACTGGATTATGTCTTAACTATAGTACAAGATAATGAGCAAGATATATTATTATTCATCTCCCTACCAATGATCAAATTTGTTTCAATTTGATATTATATATTTAAAATGAAACTATAAATTTTAATTTATGTCTAAAAATGGAAGAGGAAAAAGTATTTCCTAACCTATCATAAAGGAAAAATGTCAGAGAAACTTTCCTTTATAATCAGGTTCAAATATCCTTTTTAATTCCTTGATAAAAATGTATCACACAGGAAAGCATAGACTTCTAAATTAAAAAATGCCTTTCAATATGTTTTCCTTTTTTTTAAAAATTTATTGTTGGGGATTCATTGAAGGTACAAGAAACCAGGTTTCACTGATTGCATATGTTAGGTAAAGTCCCTCTTACAATCGTGTCTTGCCCCCAAAAGGTGTGGCACACACCAAGACCCCAACAATATATTTTCAGTTTGAATAGATAATATACCATCCAATTTCACATATTTATTATATGAAAAACTTTTATAATTAAGACAAATTCTTCAAGATTAGTCATATTAAGCTATATTTGTCATCATTATTGCTTCTTTTTTAAAAAATAAGGAAAGGAAAGCAATACACAGTATTCAATTCCCTCAACATTTTAAAATCATCCTCTTCCCCACCACACACACAAATAAACATTATTATATTCCCTTTAGCCAAAAGTAAACAGCAGACACATCTTGATGGCCTATCCTGGTAAATCCGTATTTAGATACCAGTACAACTGTAATTAATGGTTCAGAGTCACGGTAACAATACACACTGAGAAGATCCTGTGTGTATACAAGTGCTCATTCATAACATGACCCTCTTACACACACAGAAAACTCAATTCCTACGGAATAACAAAACACTTCACATTATACATAGGTTATCACAAAACTGTCCTGTTTAGTGTTCAAAGAAAGAGCAACTTCTAAAGCTAGGGAGAGAAGAGTTAATACCAGGATCGCTGCCCTCTATTAACTTTAATTCAAAGCAAAGTACAACTCAATGTCATTTCTACCTCTATTGCAGCCAAGACTGAAACAAAATTAACTTCATTGTAGGATAAAGTACCAGCATCCCAATGGATTATTTACTTCTCTGATTTGACAGTACACATACGAGTGTGTGGAGCCTTTTGTCCCTCCCACAGCATTCCAGGGTGTCAACATTATCTTCCTCAAAGCAAACGACAAGCAAATCCCTCAGGTCATTACTTCAGAACCCTGAGTACAAAAAAGTCATGGCCTTCATTGTCGTTACTACCCAGCAAATAGATTGTACAGTCCCATGCCTCCTTCCATTATAGTTGAGGAGGCGGGGTGGGAAAGAAGCGCTCCTATTTCCTAAGAATCTTCTGTGTTCGGTCCTGGTACCAGAAGCGGCATGAGTACAAGTGATATGTGGGTCACCCACACAGAGAGGCACAGAAAGAAGCTTCGTGACCCTCCAAGTTCAGTGAAGACGCTCAAAACCTCGGGAGAAGCTGGGCTGAATCAGAACGGTCTCCGAGGTGGACACTGACTGCTTCTGGCACGACCTCAGGGCGTGGGCAGCGACCCAGAAGTCTCCGGGACCCCTCCCTTCCTCACCAGGGGCGGTCACTCAGCGAGGGGTGCGGTCAGAAGAGGGGGTCAGGATTGGGGGAGGGCGGCACTATAGGGGTGCGGGGGGTGTGTCCTACCTGGGCCGTGGCGGACGCAGGGATTTCGGGCGGTGGGCTCGGGTCCAGTTCAGGGCCGGGACCGGCAGGGGTCAACCCTCAGCAGGCGGGACTGCCACCGCCTGCCCATCCCCCGCCGCAAACTGCGGCGGGACCCGAGCGCAGCTTCGAGGGCCAGCCGGCTGGGTAGCCCCTCTGGTACCGTCCGCGTTTACTGGCGGCGGCGGCGGCTGCTGCTGTTACTGCTGCTGCTGGCTCCCCCCAGCCGCTGCTCTTGTGTCAGCCCCTGCTCCCCCTCCTGCCGCCGCCGCCGCCGCCTCGTCCCCACCGCTCCCATCGCCGCTGCGGCGACTACTGCAGCGCCCGCTGACCCGACCCGACGTTAGTCTCCCCCTTCGCAACCCGGCACAGCCTAGCCCACCTGCCCTGCCAATGCGCACGCCCACCTCTCTACTCCAAGTGCTGATTGGAGGGTGAGTTCCGAGTCCGCAGCATCGGTTGGCTAGTCCCATTGCCCATCACGAAGGGGGCGGAGAGTCGGGTAGAAAGCGTCTCCGCCCCCACCGGAGAATTGCCGCTATCTTCAGGTTTGCCTGAGAGGGCTAGTTACCGGGAAGGGAGCATCACAATGGCAGCACGCATGCGCGCGGGAATTCTGGGCCTGGTAGTTCCAGCCTCACAACTGCGCGCTGGTCCTGCGAAGCAGGGCTTCTGAGACCAGTGGCTGGTGTGCAGAGGCTTTCTCCTCGCTAAGCAGTTAACTTAGTTGTAGAGGTATGGCTGTGATTCCAAGGTGAGGCGTTTCAGAATAAAATCGGAAACGCCTTATCATGAGATAAAAGTACACACGGAGGCAGTCACAGGGAAAGACTCAAATCGTGAGGCCCTGCCATGCCTTAGGAAGGGATCCAGACGCCTCCGAACCAGAGCAGCCAGGACCTCCCAAACTGGCGTGTCCTGAGAACCACCTAACGGGAAGCTAATCACCTGTGGGCAAGACCGGGGAAGGGCCTCAAAGTGAGAGGGGGAAACTCGCCATAAGGGAGTGTCAGCCTGGACACTGGCGTTTCCTCGTGGCTTTACGACCCACAGCGAACAAGGTTTCTTTCCCCTGAAACACCATCAGCTAAAGATTGAACGAGCAGCCCCGGCGCAGACCAGTATGGATTCTAAAGCAGAGCATGGGACACTCGCTCAAAGACTTTTTCAAAGAAAAGCCGTGAGTGGAGCAGTGAGTCTGTGTGGGATAAATTTGTAGTTAGTGTTGATTGTATCAGCCTCTTTGTTCAAGGAAAACCTTAAGAGTAAGCCCCTCTCCCATCCTTATCCACCGACTTACAGTATAGAAAACTCAATTGAAAAGGTTAAGCAACTTTACTAAGGTTATAAATTAGTAAGTGACAAAACCAAAACTCAGATCTCTTAAACCTGTGTCTAATGATCTCTCTACTTAATAGTAATCACAGTGACTCCCAAGGGTCTGCCATAGACAGAAGGAATGCAACAACTGATATGCATTTTTACTTTAAATCCTTTTTTTCACTCAAGCGACATTATTGTTAAAGCTGATTAGGAATATAGAAAGGTTATGAATAAATCCTATATTCAACCTCAGAACTGTTTTTATAGAATCTGTTTCTTCTTGTCCAGGAAATGCCACCACCTCCTGACATTCTTTAAAAAACAGCAAGCACCTTGACTGACTGTCATGACCAGATCCTCGGATGAAAAGCTGGACAAAGTGTACAGTAAAGGCAATTGATGATGCAGTCCATCTTCTTTTATTCAAACATAGATAAGTTGCCAAATTGTTTTCTTTCTACTGATTAAAATTGCAAGTTGCTTTTTTTCTTACTTTGTTTAATAGAGTATACTTCAGAGTTTTGGCCAATCATATAACTTGAGTAGGACAAGATCATAGAGGTTCTGTAATATTTTTCTTTAAAATTTAAAGTTTATAGGGAAAAATGTGCAAATTCATTAAATTGTATCTAGCAATAAAAACCTTCTCTTTTCTTTGGTTCTTATATTTAAGAATTACTGATCTGTTCCTAGAGTTATGAAAAATGGCAAGGCAATATATTTTTCAAGAGCTGATACAGAATTCAGGAACACCCTTTGAGATACATAGTATATACAGTATATCTATCTCTATTTGTTTGTTTATAAATAAACACAGTATACACACACATATACACATACACACACTTTGGAGATACACAGTATAACTCCCATACTTGATCACCTGCTTAAGTTGATCACATCCTTAAGTTAACCTAATTTTCATAGACTGTACATGCATCACATGTATGTACAGTAGGTCTAGTTCCTTATGTTGACCACCACCATATGTTGACCAGTTTGTTACAGTCCCTTGGGTGGTCAACTTACAGAGGTTCTACTGTATATTAATATGTACTTGAGGTATATATATTCTTGAAGTATATATATATACTTATTTATTTATATAAAGAAATAATTGTGGTAGCCAACCTTCCAGATGGCTCCCAACAATCCTTACCTGCTAGGATTCTCATCTTTATGTAGTCCTTCCCATACTGAATTGGGCTGATCTGTATAACTAATAGGATTTTCCAGAAATTATAATGTGTGAATATCAAGGGTAGGTAATAAAAGACATTGTCACTTCGGCCTTGTGTCCTCTTGGATCACTTATTTAGAAGGATGCCAGTTGCCATATCTTAAGGATGCCCTAGCAGCCCCATGGAATAGTCTCCTGGCCAGGAGCTAAAACATCACACCATTAGTCAATATCAGCTAGCCATCTGTGTTAGTGAGCCATTCTTGGAAATGGATCCTCCAGCATCAGTCAAGCTAGTCCAGTGACATCTTGACCACTACCTTGTGGGACAGCCCAAGCCAGAACCACACAGAAAAGCCACTCCACAGGAGTACAAGTGAATCTTTCTAAGAGTAGAACATTTTAAAACAATAACTGAGAAAATGACATGAAGGCTCTGTTGACCAGTTTGATGGAAGTATTTTGGATTGCATGTGAAAACCCCACACTGTACCCCAGAAGTGCATTAATGTACATAGTTACCATTCAATAAAAAAA